ATATGAGTTGAACATTTACCTGAGGAAGAGACACTCCTTGGAGAGATCAGTCATGGGAGAAAGAAGGGCCGTTTACGCACAGGGAGACAGCTCAGGGGGCAGGAGTGCATGGAGGGATGGACACAGGGAAGACGTGACTATTGGGAGGACAGGGGAGGGGAGCTGTTGCATTGGGGTAAATTGTAGTGAATGTTATGAGACGAGTGTGTGTGAACTGCTGTATGGAAAGTGAACTTGCTCTGTAAAATTTCACCCAAATCATAATTAAAAAAGCAGTAAATAACATTTGCAGGAAAATTCCATGGGATAGCATGTTACACTTAGCAGATGACCTATTTCTTGAAGACAGAATCTTCACAGGTTTTCTTTGGAAGGAAGGAAGCAGTGAATGTTTATGTAAATGTTACACAGCTTACCTAGAGTCTGCTTTGGAGTGCTTTTGCTTTGTTTTGCACCTTGCTGTAAAAGCAACTGATAACACCCCCCCCCACACACACACACACACACACACACACACACGCGAAACCTGAAAAAGGAAGCGCTTACTGCTGAGGCGAGTCAAGCTGAAACTAAAATAATTTACTATCGCCACCTGCTGGCAACTATTAAGTACTCTAGATATGGAGACTGTTTTGGTTTAATTTTTATTATTAGTTACATTTTAAAACACCATCATTTGAATGAAGAGCAGTACTGAACTGCTGAGAAATTTGTAATTTGAAAGAGAAATGTTCACAGCTAAGAGTATGGACACAGATGAAAGTTAATCAAATTCTAAAATCCAATAAACAGAGAGTGGCAGTTACCTTTCTCAGGCTGATTTTTTTTTCTTTCCTATACTGCATGTTTCCTTATCAAAGGTGTCTGGCCGGAAGGATCCGATGGGACAGACATCAATGCACTGGTGCGATCCCACAACAGAAAGGTCATAGCTGTTGCTGATGACTTTTGCAAAGTCCATCTGTTTCAGTATCCTTGCTCCAAACCAAAGGTAAGCTCAGTTTAGTAGAAGCTAGTTTTATAGGGCTTTTTGTTTGGGGCAAGAGAGTATTTGTAGGATCACTGATTACTCGCCAAGATACTGTGGTGCATAGAGAAGGACTACATGGGAGCATCCGAGCAGGCCTCTCTTGGCTTCTCCTGCCTCATTAAGGGTAAGGAGAAGATAGCTCTGGAGTGGCAGCTGGTGGTGATTTATTCCTTTTGCTTATTGTCTAGTTTTTTATTTTGATACTTTGGCAGTTTCAAACTTCAGGTTAATTCCGAGTCATAGCAACGCTATAGGACACAGTAGAACTGCCCCCAGAGGGTTCTGAGGCTGTAAACCTTTTTGAAACCAGATTGCCACATCTTTCTTCTGCAGAGTGGCTGGTAGTTTCAAACTGCCAACCTTTTGGTTAGCAGCCAAGCACTTTAACCACTACTCCACCAGGACTCCTTAAAATATTTTCTTTGCTCTATACACAGTTATCATTGTGATACTAATAGAACTGTTTCGTAAATCACCTATAATTATGCCAACCTAGTAAATCCTTCCATAGCTGTCCCAATTGAAGTTACTAAGGTTTGACTAGTATGCCAAGCGGACATCCAGAAGAGAGACTTTTAGTTAGTTTTTTAAATATATAGTCTGACATGGAAGATGTCCAATTATGTTTTCTTTCTCCTGTATAAATAGGCATTAAAGGCGGCTAGCTTTATTCCTCAGCTGTGATTACTTACAGGTTTCATTTGAATTACTCGTTTCACAAGCTCAATTACCTCCCCTGTAGTCACCTCCATTGCTGTAAGCAGGCATGCAAATTACAAATGAGCTTAATTTGCCTTTGTCTGATTTATTTGATAGGCTCCCAGTCACAAGTACAGTGCCCACAGCAGCCATGTCACCAATGTCAGTTTTACTCACAACGACAGTCACCTGATTTCAACTGGTGGAAAAGACATGAGTATCATTCAGTGGAAACTTGTGGAAAAGTTATCTTTGCCTCAGAATGAGATTGTAGCCGATACTGCTCTAACCAAAGCCCCTGTCTCTTCCATCGAGAGTGTCAGGCAGCGTAATACTCCCACGCCACCTCCTTCCCAGCCCTTAGAGGAGACGGTGGAGGAAGAACATAGAATAAGCAGTTCTCCCACATGTTTGGAGAATAGCTTGGAACAGACCATGGAGCCGAATGAAAACCACAGTGAGGGGCAGAGTGAAGGGGGCAGCGAAGACCTCGGCGAGCCTGTTTATGAAGAGCCTCCCCGCGAGACAAAGGAGGAGCAGAGCGAGGCCACCCTGCCCAAGGATCCGCAGGACCACCCACCCCTGTCCTAACACCATGTCTTCAGGGGACTCTAGTCCTTCAGCTGCATGTGATTTTATGATAGAATTCAGATAACAGGATGGGAAGTGATGGAGGATCACTTTTGATCGAGATTTTTGGTTTCCACATTGTTTTCTTCAATTGTCTTCAGTCTCCCAAATGCAGTCTCTCTAAAGGTTCAGTTTGGTGTGTGTTGAAAATTAACCAAACTAAATAGTAGGAAAAGACTAAAACATTATGTCTCAGAAATGACGATGTCTGTAAGTGGTATGATGTATATACTGGAAGCAGAAACAGCAGTTGTGTTGATTTAAAATAACCCCCTTGTTATCTGAATGTGTTTTCTTCAGGAACAACCGGAGTCATCACCAACACTGTTACTCATCTACTGGCTCAGACTGTGCTACTTTTTTTTCCCCTGATGCAGAAAAAGATGCCAGAAGAAAAAGGAAAAAAAAAAAGTTCTCTTATTTGAGGTATCCTCTGGCCCCAAGTGTCTAATGGAAATTTTTTAATTAAGAAAAACTTCAGTATTGCCATGTGCAATGGTATTGCCTTGCTGAATGATGCCATTTTCTTACACTACTGGTAGAGTCCAGATGTGCTTTTAGTCTACTATATAGGTGCTGCCTTTTTTCCAACTCATAATGAGGAATAATCATTAATTTCTTAGGTGCAAATCTGGTTAGTCCTAGAACTTCACAAAGCATTGGTTTGTTAAAGAGCTTTCAATGTGTATTAAACCATTGATACTCAGAAAGAGTGGCTTTCTCCAGGGATTCCTTTACTGGCCTAAACATTTTCAGATGTTGGGCATTCAGGTGAATGGAGGGGAAACCGTATGCCTTTGAACCTAAGCTGTAATAATTACCTGGCTAACTTTAGTTTAGCCTTCATCATAATTTATCCCTTCAATAATAGGAGAAATATAAATATGGTAAGTTTAAATGAATTGGTGCTTGAAATTCATTGGTTCAGTTATCATTTTTATACTGTTTTATTATATTGAGGGATAAGATACTCAACAAATTGCAGAATCTTTTTTTTACAGAAGTGTGATTATAACTAATGGTGATTTATATATATATATATATATATATATATATATATATAAATTGCATGCTTAACAGATTTGCTATATACAGTAATTTTTTTCTCTGGTGGAGTTGCTCTAAGCCTTGAAATTCTAATGTGGCTCTCCTCTGCTAGTTTGGACAATGCATGTATGATTATGCATTGGAATGTTCTGTTGTTTTTTGTTTTTTTTTTTTAAGTTTTGTCAGACAGCTTATATTTTTCTTAAGTATGTGTTTCCTCTCTAAAAATAATTACAAATACGCATTTCCTAACTGTTTATATTCTGAATATAAAAAGATTTTTGTTTTGATTTACTTTTTAACTTGCTGCATTGTTTGATTTTTTTTTTTTTGGTCAAATCATGTTTAGAAACTTTGGTTGAGTTCAGAAGTCTTAAGTATGCAAGTGTTTACGTGATTGTGCCATTCCAAAGTGCATCAGAACTGTCATTCCCTTCTAGTATCTTCTCAGGAGTAATGCATATCAGGTATTTCATCACCATTTGGTAATATAAGAACTCCAGTGAACTCCCAAGGACACTTACAACATTTATATCCACATGCTGTATGTAAGGGTGCGGGTATGTGTGACGGTATGAGTGTAGACACTTAACTCTGTGTTTGTGTGTATCTCTGTATAAGAAGATTGCACCACATTGAAAATATTCAGTGTATATCTCTATGTGTATAGATATATGTCCATGTATATCTCTTTTCCTTTTGTTTACAACTGTTCAAAAAGAAAACCTCAACGTAGTTCTCTTCAAATGAAGAGATGTAGATTCCAAGCAACCCATCTGTTTTCAGTATGTTCTGTGCATAGCCATCAGAGAGCACCGGTAAGTATCAGGCGTATGTGTTTGCCTATCAGTAATGGTGATTGAATCAAGTCGATACACGCTGCTCCCTATAAGAAAAGTACTATGAGATGAACGAGTAGTTCTAGGAGAAGGATGAACATTCTTTAAGTGCCAGGGGGATACAGTGCTTCATGATAAGCAGGGAGTTTTTTTGGGGATATCAGTCACCTTTGGGGTTGCCATGTACAATGAGATTTATAATCATGACACTCTTGGGTGGTAGCTTCCAAAGACACTACTAATACGCAGAAAGCGTTCCAGCTATCTATTGCTGGCAACTACTGTTTAATGGTCAATTAAATCTGTGATAATGGTTGGAAGTGGGTGGAATTATGAAATTATAGATGTTTTTAGAAAAACTTGTGAATGAAAATAAATCCAAGTGTTTCATGTGAAGATGTTGAGCCATTTCTATCATGCATTCCTGTCTCATGGCAGAAATTTTTGAAGATTAAAAAATAAAATAATCAAAATGTTTCCTTTGTTTCTAAATGTGTCTTAACTCTTTCTTCCTTTATACAGCTAGTTTCCATGACTACCCAATTATCAGAAACCATGACTACTCAGAAAAATTTACCAGTTGACCGCTGCTGCTGCTGTGGATAAAACCATGCTGGTAGTCACAAACACCATCTCTTAATGTTAGAGGAAATTACCTCTGAATTGTGCTTGCATATCATAGGAGAACAGCTTAGTTTTAATTTATTTTGTGTCTATACTCTCTAATGTTTAATGTTGCATAATCCTTGTGATCTTGGTTACCTGCCTGGCCCACTCCCCTGCCTACCACTGCCTCTCCACGGTGAGTCTTTGATACACTTGAACTCAGTAGGGTGTTGCATTCCCTGCTTTCTCCCATTTCTCCTGTGTTACCTAGTAACACAGAATCTGTGTACACCACAACCATAAATTGGCTACTACAGATTTTTCTCTACGAAGACTTAATAGATGAGAGTGATAGTTTTACAGTCATGGCAATGATGGGGTTTCCATTATTACATTATTGATCTTTGGTGACTGTATGTTCACAGCAGCTCCTATACAATAACCCACTAGAGGCTGTCCTAGGAGAATTCCATGTCTCACTAAATCTAAGCCAAAATGGCTGATAGGCACCAGAACAAACCCACTAAACAATGTGATGGAAATAAGGAAATCCAGAAGAGGAATTCGTTTGTGGAAAATAATGGTAAATTTGATGTTGGGCACATTGAGGTATTTGGTGTTAATTTCTAGAAGTAGGTTTCTAGCTTAAAGTTGGTAATTGTGAGAAGAGCAAGGACAAAGACGTTTCCAGGACTGAGAAGATAAGCTGAAGGGCAGATGCGTAGGATAAAGAGGTCCTGCCGCTGGAGGAGCATTGACTGCAGGCCAAGCCTGCCCCAGACACCCTGGCTCCCATTTAGTGATGTGTGGGGAGTGGCACCCTGTAGGTGAGGAAATTGGCCAGAGCTTTAGTAACTGGCCTGTGGTTCTTTAGATAATGGCTAGGACTTAATGTTTTAATCATTTCAAAGTTTGTGCTCTTCCCACTACAGTAGGAGAAAGACATTTATTCCAAATCAGAAAAGGGAAGGAAGGAAGGTAGAGACTTGGAGATTGTCTAGAAAGGCAGTAAGAAGTGACAAGGCCCCAGTCTTGGTCCAGGAGCGGTGGGCTTCTGCCCACGGTCATGCACACCTGTGCACCATCCTGGCCCCAGTGTGGAAGCCAGGGCCTGCTGGAGAAGCCTCTGTCCAGCTGCAGGCTTCAGGGACCAAATGTTTTTCCTGAAAATGAATGCAGCCCTTCATAAAGGGACAGCTCCTCATAGGCTCAGATAATGTTACTAATTTTCTACTGGTTTACCTTTTTCAAGGAAACCTGAATTTTATTTATAGAGCCCTACAGTAACCTTAAAAGTTCTGATATAAAGAAAACAAACAACTGCCTGGCCAAAGGAACAACAAGAAGGTCAAATAACCCTAAACAGAGAAAAAGTTCAGTGTCTCCTCTGGAAATGTCATCCTGTTTCATTTCTGTGTCTGCGGTCTTCCTGGGTGGTGTCCTAAGACGATCATGGCTTGTTGAACTAAGCAGTTTCTTTTTTGGGAGTTTACAAATCCAGAAATGTGGCAGGAAAAAAATACCATTTTATTTCTTAAAGAACAAACATTTTTAAAAATGGGCTAAAACAAGCCCTCAGGGGGTTAAATATGGCCCATCCAGATGACAAAATGTAGTTCAGCACTGGGGCTCATGTGCTGGAATACTTACTAAGTACTTTACATGTTTTAACTTACTGAATCCTTTCAACCACCCTAAATTCTATTACCTCCATTTTACAGATGAGGAAATTTAAGAATAAGCCAAGTAGCTTGCCTGTGTGACACCACAGCCAGTGAATCAGACATGATGTGAGGCCCCCTGTTGCCAGAGCCCACGTGGCTCACCACAGCTCTACTGTAGAATGTATTTGATCATTAAGAAAAAAAAAGTTGGCATGAGTTCCAACTCATACCAACGCAATAGGACAAAGTAGAACTGCCCCATAGAGTTTCCAAGGCTGTAAATCTTTAAGGCTGGTGGTTCAAACCTACCAGCCACTCCTCGAAAGGAAGGTTGGGCAATCTACTTCCGTAGTGATGTTGTTGTTATGTGCCGTTGAGTCGGCCCCGACTCATAGCGACCCCTCCTTGTGTTGCCGAGGCAGTATCACTACGGAAGTAGGATTACCCAACCTTCCTTCCGAGGAGTGGCTGGTGGGTTTGAACCGCCAGCCTTCTGGTTAGCAGTCAAGTGTCTTAGACACTATGCTACCAGAGCTTCTGTAGTGATACTGCCTTGGAAACCCAAGGAGGGATGGCTATGAGTCAGGTCCGACTCAATGGCACATAACAACAAATCTTTAAGGTGGCCAGCTGCTATGTCTTTCTACCACAGAGCGGCTAATGGGTTTAAACCCTCGACCTTTCACATAGGAAAGAACAAGTTACACTTGTGGCAGGAAGGATTTAAGGCTAGCATAAGGGAAAACTAGAGAAAGTGATCAAGATTTGGAAAAAGACCATTTGGGCCTTGACAATGTCACAAGAT